GGGGGGAAGTGGGGGAGCAGGGGCGGGGCTAGGGCAGGATGGGGCGGGGCTAGGGCAGGACAGGGGCAGGGCTAGGGCAGGGCTCCTTCCGTCCTCTTTTTTGCTTGCTGAAATATGGTAACCCTAGTCCACTCAGGGCCAGTGGAAATACTCTCCTAGGTAACGTTGTGCAGGTTGATTTGATTTTTCAGGATTTGAGCCATGGATATCAAGACAGTCCCTATCTTGAATAGTTTGTTCTATCTAGAAATCTGTTTCAACCCTTAATAAAAATCTTATTTTATGCTCTGGGCATGATCCAAAGGCAATGGAAAAATCTCTGATTGAGTTCAGTGGACTTTGGATCAGGCCCTGATGGCTTTTAAGATTGTAGTACAGCTAAGTCAAGTGCCTGCATTTTATCTAGTGTATATCAGAGGAAAAGATGTTTTACATATTTATATATATATATATAACATTCACAAAATGTAGCAATAACTGAAGTAAATTTATAATACTTCCTTTCATTTGGAAGAGGTATAGAAAAGTACCTGGCCAATACAGTACCATTAATCTATTCTCTTTTCTCCTTTCTCTCTTTACTTCTCTCTCTACAATAGAAGTGGAACAAAAAGGTAATTAAATACCTTTCAAATTATATATATTACTTATTTATAGGCTAAGTTATTTAACAGTTTAACGTTTTAGTTGAAATACCTTTGTCATTAATTCTCACTTTTTTTTTTTTTTTGGTTAAAGTTTATTTATTTTCTCTGCTGCTCAACTTCACAAGATAATATATATTTTTGGCTGAAAAGATTTACTGGTCTAGTTTTCTTTCTCAATCTTCTACTATAAAAACATGATTTTTTTTTTTAAAGACCCTGTAGACACAGTGCCCCATACATTAGCTACTGTAAAACAGTCACAGCTTCATTGGCTCCACTGGAGTTCTATCAGTTTATACTAGCTGAGGATGTGGCCCAAAATTTCGTGTATCATTTGAATTTGTGATTTTTCCCATGTTCTCTCTTTTTTCAGGGGGCTTAATCAACTTCTGCACTGTTGAAAATAATTGGTTGACTTCTAATCAAGAAGTGATAATTCAACTGCCCTGTATACCAGCCCCATGCTAATAGAAATGTCCAATGGGACACTTGTGCCTGCCCAGTTGTTATGTTTCAGGTCATCTTCATACCGCAATCACACACACAAGAACATTGACTCAATTGTAATATGTGATGAGCCCCCTCCAACTCACACTGATGTCAATGGCAAAACTCCCATTGACCTCACTGAGAGGTCGGTCAACCCCCTGGGTATTGTGCCCAGAACTCACGTAGCTTAAAGTCATTCTTCCATGTCAATCTGCATCAGCACAAGGGTCCGCCACTGGATCAGTTGCAGGAATAGGACCTGGGTGTGCACTTGAAATTTACTTTGTCTCCATCAATTTGTTTTTTATATTGTAATCTCCCGTAGCACTCCCTGTATGCCAACACACATACATTTGCAGTATATTCTTCCCTTAATACAGATGCATAACTCCAGTGAATGAGAGTTAAACAGGGCATCAAAGGGAGAATGTAAACTCTAGACTGCACTGTAGTTTGCTGTCACATGCTGCAATCATTTCACTGCTTGCCAGGTTGTGCTCTGGCCCACGCTGTGTGTACTGCACTGTAGCACATAGTTCTCCTTCAGCTTATCAGTCAAAGATAAGATTTAAGTGTTACTTTAATTCTTACATTGGCAGGGCACATGTGCTGTGCCTTCTCCTAACCTCTGTCCATGCAACATATCACCCTAAAATCAAACCGAGCCAGCTGATCCCTGTCCCATTTCCATTCTGAAGTCTGAGCAGCAAAGCACAGCTAGCCAAACCGTTCCTGTATGCTCCTCTCATGTAACCGTAGAAGGTATATGTTTTAAGTTTGAATACTACTGTGTTTAACAGGACATTTTTAACTGATTAAAATCTAGATTTGGGTTCCTCTCCAGTGAACTTTATTCTTTTCCTTCCTTTCTTCCTTCCTTCCTTGCTTCCTGTCGTTTCTTTCTCCTCTCAGTATTCATCCATTGTTCATTTTTAATTGTGTGGACTGCATGTTCTGTGTTTTCTGTAGCAGCTTCAAAATCATATTGCTAGTTATGGCCCATACTAGGGTATTTTTGCCTTCCTATTTGCTTTCAGTGTTCCTTTGAGTTGCCGAGGGATTTGCCTCTGTTTTGCTATGGTACCTTTAAAATATTTAATTCCACCTGGGCTATAAGGATGGGAATTTTTTTTTTAATTTCCATTTCTAGGGCAATCTTCAGCAGACTGTTCAAACTAAATATATGGAACAATTCCCCAGAAATTTACCCCTTCGCCTAGCAGGTATAGATATAGTGTAGAATATAATCTGAAAATACAAACCCATAAACCCCTTGGGAATACATATTCATTTCAGAGTTTAGAAAGGCGAATAGTCCAAGTAAGTACACCAGTAAAAATAGATTCCAAAAGCAGTAAGAAAATGAACTGATGTTGATTGAAAGGGCAGCAAAAATCAATATGGAGGAACACGTCCTGTTCTAGACCACTCACTGCCTGTGGTGAAGGTAATTTGCAAATAGACTACATTTGTTGTGGGCTGATCGTACTCTGCTGCAGAGCTATGAACAATTAGAAGTTAATGCCAAACCATCAGAGCTCTTCTTAACTTTCTTTTTTTGTGTTTAACTCTTTTCCCCTCCAACAGTTTTTCTTTGTCCTGGCCTACTAAAAGGTGTATACCAGAGTGAACATTTATTTGAGTCAGACCATCAGTCTGGGGCTTGGTGCAAGGATCCTCTACAGGCTTCTGACAAGATTTACTACATGCCCTGGACCCCATACAGAACTGACACCCTGACGGAGTATTCTTCCAAGGATGATTTCATAGCTGGGAGACCAACGACCACCTATAAGCTCCCTCACCGGGTAGATGGCACTGGATTTGTAGTGTACGATGGGGCTTTGTTCTTCAACAAGGAGCGAACCAGGAATATAGTCAAGTTTGACTTGAGGACAAGAATAAAAAGTGGGGAGGCTATCATAGCAAATGCCAATTACCATGACACCTCTCCTTACAGGTGGGGAGGCAAGTCCGACATAGACCTGGCGGTGGATGAGAACGGGCTATGGGTAATCTATGCAACAGAACAAAACAATGGCAAAATTGTCATTAGCCAGTTAAACCCTTACACCTTAAGGATCGAAGGGACGTGGGATACAGCCTATGACAAAAGGTCGGCTTCCAACGCTTTCATGATCTGTGGGATTTTATATGTGGTGAAGTCGGTGTACGAAGATGACGACAATGAAGCCACAGGAAATAAGATAGACTATATTTACAACACTGACCAAAGCAAGGATAGTCTGGTGGATGTTCCCTTTCCAAACTCATACCAGTACATCGCTGCTGTGGATTATAACCCCAGGGACAACCTCCTTTATGTATGGAACAACTATCATGTGGTGAAATATTCTTTGGATTTTGGACCACTGGACAGCAGATCAGGTAAGGTTCTGTGCTAAGTTTTGCTTTTGTCTTCCATTATCTATAACCTGAAGCTGGTTTGTTTTTTCTGTGAAGTTAAAGTATATTTCTCTTTGATTGCATGTGTGTGTGCATGACTTAAGGCCTGGTTCTCCTCACCCTTAATGCTTAGCTGCTTCAAAGAGACACTTTACTGTTTACAGAACATTTTCTTTATAGCTTACTTTGAAAATAAATGGAAATAAGAATAAATTGTCAGTGATAAGCCTGAGCCAATCTTCAAATATCCAAGTTCCTGTTCAGATCATCAGAATCACCAGTGGAGATGCCTGTTTCATTGTATTTATTCTATCCATCAATCCCTCTTGCTTTTATGACCATGCCAGAACATTACTTTTGTGAAACATAGCTCAGATGTTGCTCTCATTGTAAACCAGATCCTCAGCTGGTTTAAATCAGTGTAGCTGCAGTGAAGTCAATGAAATATTGAAGAATGACATGAGCTGAGAATCTGAGCCCAGATATGTGCGTGCATATGTGCGCGCACACACACGCATTTTGTTTGTTGTCCTGTGTATTCGTGATTAATTTCAGAGTAGGAAACATGATCCAGACTGGTTTTTCATGTTTCTCTGGGTCATTCATGTTGCTGTTCTGTTAAAAAATAGTTTGGGCTGGTCATATTGTTTAAATCTTAATAGAAGGAAATTATATTCCATCACTAAGTAAAGACGAAAGCTTATGCTCCAATACATCTGTTAGTCTATAAGGTGCCACAGGACTCTCTGTTGCTTTTTACAGTCCAGACTAACACGGCTACCCCTCTGATAAGTAAAGACTGGAATCCAAAAGAAATCCAACTTCAAGTGGATTTCCATCAGACATCATCACCATAATTATATTTGGCTGATTTTTTCATTAATTTGGATCAATTCTTCCTTGTTACATAAGTGTAAATCCAGAGTTACTCCATTGTCAATGAATTTGGCTCTAATTCACTAAATCATGCAGAAGTCTCAATTATTTTCTTTTAGGTTTTAAAGTGTTTACTCCTATACAAACTATATGCAATAATGATTTAAATTCAGTTTATCTATGATAGATTATATCTTTCCTGAATGCTGAGCAGGTAACAGGAAAAGCAGAATTAATATAATTTAGAAGGTGAATCATTTAGTTATTAATGTGTTGTTTTTTTCTCCTAAAATGTTACCATTCTGTTAAATACGATGACAAAGAAAAGACTATGGGCATGTCTACATGAACACGTTAGTTGGCAGAAAGCTGGGGTATGAATCTACCTTGCACTAGACTGAGGCATACTCACTGTCTCTGTGGACCCTGATACCACACTGTAAAAGTTCCCTAAGCACTTTGGTCTGCTCCCGTGTCCAAGCTGGGTAGATCAAAGTGCACTACAGAACTTTTAGTGCACCACAGCAGGGTCCACGTGAACGCTCAGGACTTGTCTATGCTGCCCCGCAGTTCAGACTACAGGCATCTGAATAGAGGTGAGCACCAAAATGCTGTGCTGTAACTCCCTGTGTGGATGCTGCAGGCGCAAACTAAAAGGTCCCAGTTCATATTAATGTAGTCGTCTTCTAAGAGGACTTGCAAAGTAGGAACCTAACTGTAGGACAGTGTAAGACTTGCCCTTCGGCAGGGCTGTGGAAGGATGTTTCGCGCCCTAGGCGAAACTTCGACCTTGCGCCCCCCCCGTTCCCGAGCCCCCGCCCTGAGGCGCCCCCCCTGCGGCAGCTCCCCACCCCCCACCCTGAGGCACCCCTCCCGCCCCAGCTCACCCCTGCCCCGCCTCCTCCCCAGCATGCCGTCACTGCTTCAGTTCTCCCGCCTCCCAGGCTTGCGGCACCAATCAGCTTAGGCGCCGCAAGCCTGGGAGGCGGGAGAAGTGAAGCAGCCACGGGGTGCTCGGGGCGGAGGCGGGGCAGGGGTGAGCTGGGGTGGGGAGTTCCCCTGCGTGCCGCCCCCCCCCGCCCCCTTGCTGCAGGTGGCCCTCCCCGCGCTCCACTGCCCCAGCTCCCTCCGCCTAAATGCCGGCGGCGACTGGGGTGGCCGAAGATCCGGCCGCTGCGGTCGCTGTCAAAGAAAATGGCGCCCCCCCAAATCCTAGCACCCTAGGCGACCACCTAGGGCGCCTAAATGGTTGCACCAGCCCTGCTCTTCGGGGGCGGAAGGCTAACGCAGAGTAGATTTACACCCCAGCTTGCTGTAAACTTATGTGGTTCCTATAGACAAGTCCTGAAGAAGTAGTTCAAGGTCTTTAGGTTGCAGGAGAGGAGTAATACAATGTTCTGATCCCTCTGATCCATCCATTTCTCTGTATTCAGGCTGTGATTAGTGTGCACAACAATACTTTTAGATAAAGAGATTTTAAAGGAAATTGTGACTTTGCAAATCTGGGAATGAGCAGAAGTGAAAATAAGTTCCAGCCCTACAGCAAAATGCAGGGAAATGAGGAGAAACAGGAGACAAAAGACCCAGAGTTGGAACTGTGAGAAGGAAGAACAAGGAGAATGTAAGGGTATTGATCTATGAAAGATTTCAGATGGGGAGAAAAAATGAAAAGTATTGCTTCACTCCACAAGTTAATGATGAGCACATACTTTGTGAGTGGTGGAGTGAAACGGAACAATATGTGAGTTATTGGTATCCGAAAGGAGCAAAAATCAATTGCATTCTTTTCTTATTCTAGTGTATTTTATCCTTTTTGAGAAATCTTTTCCATATACTTCAATGGAGTCTGTGCTGTCCCCTTTTCAGATGGTGGCTGTGGACAGTAATTGAATCTGTTACAAAAAAAATTAATCTCGCCTTCAGTGAAAAATGAGGTGGTTGCAGGTTTGTGAACAAGAGAAATATTTTTTTTTTGTTCTTTCCTTTCTGAGCTCAGAAGTTCAGAGTGAGAACTGAGCAATCTTTGGGGCTATTTGGATGCTGTGCTTAGTGTTGCTTCATTATAGAGGTAAGGGCTATTCGTGCCATTTTGATCTGGATTTGAAGTTCCCCTCATTTTAGAAGAGTTTCGGTAAAAATTAAATATTGAGTGAAAATTAAAATTGCAGGTTCAAAACATTTTACTGGGGGAAAATATTTGTTGTGGAAAATGGCAAGAATTGTTTGAGATTCACTTCAGGTAATTTTGCAGTTGCAACAGGGGATTGACTGTCACCAGCTTTAGGCCTTCCCCTTCCTTCCCCTCCTACCCCCCAAAAACCTCCCCTCCTGTTTGCAGTTGTTCCAAAGCATGGAATTTAACCCTGTTGGAATTTCCTCTGTGAAACATAAAACTAAGCAATGATACACATCCATTGATATCCCCCACCAGGGCGTAGGAGTGGCCAGATTTCTTGCCTTTCTCAACCTGTATTTTTTTTCCATGCTGTGGAAAATCTCTGTTACTTCCTGTTTGACAGAAAACATCTCAGAATACATCATCCTGTGATGTCACAGGTCCCCAGGATTGCGTGGGACTTGTGAGGTCATTGATCCTAAAAAATGATGCATTCTCAAATAGAGAGCCAGGATGGGCCAAGGACCCTTCACAAAGACAAATAAGTGAACTTGGCTGCAAAATTCCCCACACAGCTTCATTGGTGGGGTCATTATTTTACTTCCAAATCCAACAGACTCACTCATTTCTGAGTGAGTGGGTGAGTCGACATTTACTAGACTTGTACATTTGGATGTGTTTGTGGATAAGGGAGAGAGAATCTTCATTCTGTAGAGAATGTCTGTGGTTCTTTCCTTCTCTCATGAGTTAAGGCCCAATATACTGCACTTTGAAGTCAATGGGAGTTTTTTACGTTGACATCAGTGGGTATTGGATCAGGCCCCAAAATGTCACCTTTAACAAGGAACAGCACAACAGCTGAGGAAGCGGACAGCAATAACAGCTGTAGCAGTCTGGTAAGCAGTGAAGGAATCTGATCTCTTTCTAAGAAAAAATCATGGATAGCTTAGTATTTTTTTTTCCTGTTTTAAAAATGCCTGAGACGTACAGTGCCTTTACAGCCAATTGGTGTCTTTAGTTCAAGCACGAAACAGTTAAGTAGCACTTTCCTATAACGTCACAATTTCAGAGTAGCGAAATATGTAAACAATATGTGTTTAATTAGAAAATAAAGAAAAAGATGATAAAATTGATGGGGAGAATTGCCTGTTAAAAATCAATTAGGAGAGAAGTTTAGAAAAAAAGGCCTTTGGAAAACAAAAGTTGCCGGCAACAAGAAAATTGATTTATCACACAACCTAAAGAGCTAGTAGCATGTTGGAAATATATTTTAATAAAAACTCCAAGCATACAAACATAAAAACAAACAACCAGGTGTTTGAGTCGTTGCTTTCCTTGAGATAATCATTCTTTTTACCTTCTCTCAAAACAGTCTAGAGGAATAAGTCTTTTAATTGCATCCATTTGTTTTCCCCCCAATTAATACTTTTTTGTGGACTTATACACATTGGAGAGCACTGCTATAAAAATGTTTTCTACATGCGATTGCTGAAATGAAACAATAGGCCTTTGCTCCTTGCAGGGGATCGGTGGCAAAGGATCATGGGAATTCAGCAGCTTGGCCTCTATAGTGATTTAAAGAAGTAGACAAGGGGGCACGTTGAAATCTTAGATCTGTAGCAAAGTCAAGTGAAATTCAATTGAGCTGGAGACAGCCAGTTCAGTGCTTTTTACAGAGTGAAACCAAATATTGATTTTTTTCTCAAAAACTGCTAATTAAATGCTGCATTTTAAGGAGTTTCCTCCCTTTGTTATTTTATTGGGAGCTGGATTCAATTACTGTAAAGGAATCTTTTGAAGAAAGTTCGGCTTAGGGTCCACAAAACCTATGAAGCTGATTGTTAACCCATATCAACAGGAGGTGATATTGGATTGAAGGAAATGATCTATCCCTCCTGCTCTTCAGTCTCTACTGGGGCCATTTGCTTCATGGATGCCTGTCGGTGGATTGGTCCCTTCTTATATCGATCCTCTGCTAGTCTGTTTCCTT